TTTTAATAAATCTTTTTATTCATTTTGCAGTTTATAATACAAATAAACAGGGCACTAACATAGTGCCTCAAGTACAAAATAACACACAGTACGGCATAACATATGCCCAAAATACACACACAGTACGCATAAACAATCCCCGATCAGCATCCCCCCCCTTCGTTGCAAAATGACTGAGGTGGGGGTTGCGCCACAAGGGTGTATGTGGGGAGAGCGTCAGCCCAGACTCCGGAGCTCGTCCCTCCAGTGCATTCCAAGCTATTATGACCGCCCTCATGGATGGAGTCTGATGATGCGGGGAGTGCCTACCCCTATACACCAGGCGTCCCAGGGCTTCATATGATCCTACTACTGCGGCCTCCAAGGTGACTGCGGGGTCTAGGTCCCGCACCATGAGCCACTTATTGGCGACTGTTAATTGACCTGCCAGAAAATATGAATAGAAGTTAGGGGCCGCCAACCCTCCCTCTCCCCAGGGCAGCTGTAGGATTAATAGTTTTATTCTACGCGCCCTCCCATTCCAAAGGAACTCTGAGAGCATTGTGTCTATGGTTCTAAAGACCCTCCTCGGGATCCAGATCGGTGAGTTACGAAGGGTATATAACAATAACGGGAGTAACTTCATCTTAATCAGATTAACTCTACCTATCAGAGATAGAGGTAAGTTCTTCCAAGCTGAGAGGCGGTTTTTGAACTGGGCAATGACCGGGGAGACATTGAGAGTCATAAACTCTGCTACGGATGTAGATATCGTCAGGCCTAAATATTTTAGTGCTGAAACCTGTTGTAGTTGTGCATGCTGTGAAATGTCTGAGTGACTCAAGGGGTCCAAGGGGAGGTACTGGGATTTAGTCCAATTAACAGACAGCCCTGAGTATGTAGCAAATCTTTGTAAAATATCAAGGGACTCTATCAACGACTGATCCATATCAGCTAGAAACAATATCATGTCATCTGCATATAAGGCCACCCTTTCCTCCAACCCCCCTACACAGAGCCCACAGATCCCCTTGGACTGCCGAATGGCGCTTGCTATTGGTTCGATCGCCAAGGCAAACAAACCAGGGGAGAGCGGGCATCCCTGTCTTGTGCCTCGTAAAATCGGGAAACTCGAAGAAAGTGCCGCACCCATCTTAATGGCAGCTCTAGGTTGATTATAAAGAATATTAACCCACTTACAGAAGTTGGTGCCAAATCCCAGTCTGCAGATAGTGCCAGTCTACAGAGTCGAAAGCCTTTGCAAGGTCCAAGGAGACTATGGCTCTAGTACCGGGATTATCGTGAATTATTTGGGTATGTGTATACACACGTCTTAGGTTAATGTCAGTAGACTTATGTGGAATAAATCCGGTCTGGTCTGGGGAGACTACACTAGCAATGACGCGTGACAGTCTGGTGGCCAGAATCTTCGTCAGTATTTTAAGATCACCTTGTGTTTTTTATTGAAAACTGCAGTTTTAAAAAGAATGAAAAGAACTTTTGAAATATCATTAACATTTTAAAGCTTATATGAGATTTTAGTGTTGGGTTTATGAGTTTTTCAGATACAATCACAGTAATCAATACAATGAAAATAATATTAAGTTTTATTAGACTTTGGCAAATCTAGCCGATTGTCTTACATAATATATTTCATTTAACAGGATTTAAAATACACTCTACAAATAAAATCATACATAAAATATACATAAAAGTGACTAGTGCACACTAAACTTGTATGCCACCTTACTATTCATCCCTGTGTTTGAAATCAATACATTAAATATTTAAACATCATTCTTCATGAAATAATAGTTTGCTGGAAATGGTTTGTAACTGGCTCATAAAGTTTAAAGTGACTCTAGTTATTTAAGTAAGATACAATCACCTGAGCATTTATTATTTGAACTATTTTTCTGGAAATGTCAGTAATTTGTAAATGACAATCTTATACAAGGAATCAGCTACTACAATGAATTTGTGATACTCATTATTAGTGCTGCAATGCTTCTTTCAGACAAGGGAGATGATTTAACTGGGTAGATTAATTGTCTAGGCTAAATAAAAAGACATGTGAAGAGAAAAATAAACACTTTTTAAAAATTAGCAATATGCAAAAATGTGTTAATTAACCACTTTTAATACCTTTTTAATTCCAGTTTAAAGATAAAGTAATGTGCATTTTCAGTACACACATCTTTTGAGTTATTTTGAAATATTTATTACTTACTCTTTTTTATGATGAGAAAGATTTATACATGTTTGTTTTTGTTATTTTTTGTATTAAATGTACTGATGTGTAGATTGACCACCAGAGGCAGAGTAGATAACTACTAATTATTATTTTATATTAGTTGGTCTATACATTGGTTTGATTTAATAAAGGACTGTTTAATGATGTTAATGTTCATTGACCTTAGCAAATTACATAACACCATGTTCACTTTCAACAAACAACCATGCTCAAGGGAAATTAAAAAAAAACAAGCAGGACATTTTCTTGCACATGATTGTATGATTGAAGTGAACACAGCTCAAACCTATTTACTAATCTCAGTGAATATTCTCTTTGCTAAGTGATCAGCTGTTTAACCTCTTGTTAACCCAGAGTATTACTCTGGGAATTTAAAGTAAAACAGTTAACAACGAATTCCCAGCTCGATTAGCATTTGGAATTAATCCAATGTATTCAAGATGGCTGAGCGGTTGAGGATTTGCTTGCTGATCCTCCCTCTTTTTTTTAATCTTGGAAGTGCTCTGCTCTGAGTGCTTCTTGGTTTGTGGCTGGCAAATTCTGGCCATTGGCTAGGAATGTAAACAAATCCAGTATTGTCAGTACCCAATGTGTTTAGAAGCAGTTCAGGTGAGATGTCCAAGGTCTAACCTTGGACATACCTCTGATATTTCCATAAAAATGACCTATCATCTGCACAATGTTAACACTTGTCAGCCTCTTGGGATAATAATAAAGTCAAGTACAAATAAAATAAAAGTAACTACATTTATATACGTTAACATGAGTACCCCCAGTACGTGAATAACAGTTAAGCAAGACACATTCAGTATCTCCACGCACACCAAAGTAAGAGGAATAATTCTAGAGACATAATTTATAGTTACCTCTAAACTGCTGGCCTTGAAAGGTTTTAAAATGTCGCCTAAGGAAAATTTTGGGTATCATAACTTTTTTCTGCTTTGTTGTTTCCCTTGCAACTTTAAGGCTTGACATATTTGGTATCTATTTAACCAAAATGGTAGCATCCTTTATGTGTTGTGAAAACAAATAGAATTATATTATACTGTATTTATATGCACTAAAATTAGTTTTAGTGTTTTTTTTAAACATAGGTTTGAAAAGCAGTTGCGTAGATATAGTCTGATGTCAAAAATTGCAACTACCATCGTTTTATTCTTCAGTTTTTCTGTTTTGAGAAAATATGTAATGTTTTGGGGGTTTTAGGTAATTTTCAGGAAAATGTAACTCATTTATAATGTATAAACTTCTGGGCACTGATACTATTATTCAACAAGGCAGTACAAAAAGCAATTTTAATGTGTGCAGTAACTGTAGCAAGCAATTCTTCAGTATACTGAAGTCTGAACCTATAGAACTATAGGTTACTGCACTTTGAAATGGGATTTCCATTGACAGGTATATACAGGCATCTGATGGTGGTCTGCAGGCTCCATCACCCTCCTATACCCCTGAGCTCCATTTTGAGGCCATAATATAGTATCACATGGCAAAACATTTGAACTGGGAAAAAATACGTATTTTTAAGAACATTTGTTTGTGGTATTAATCACCCAAAATGAACATTCACAGATATTTGCAGGGTAAATGGCCATGTGAATTGTTTATAAATAGACCTTGTTTATAAATAGACCCCACAGTGTATTTCCACGTTTGCAGTCAAATTGGGACAACATCTATTATATATTTGTTACAAGATTTTCGCTCACATAGCAGAACTTAAAGAAAAATGCCTGCTTACATATTACTTGTGCTATTCTGAAAGAAAACTTTTTCACTCAACTGAATTCTCCTCTAAGGGAGGGGGGAAAATTTACTCTAATTAAGCTTGTCTGTGCTGGAAGATCTCATCATAAGTTGTAAACTAAGTTTGAACACTGTCTGTCTTAACAAAGCGTTAAGGACCTAGAAGCATTGTATATTATTCAGAGGAAGCTCAGATTGTCCTTATTCTTTCTATGAAGACCGTCATTGTTGCCTCTCACTTAAGAATTGTGCAGAGAAGCTGCACAAGTCTGTTCAAAGGCCAGTTCAACATGCATATGTAAAATGTGTTTTTAGGTATGCTGTGTGAACAGGAACACATAACATACATATAGTGGGACTTTCTCAAATGTGATTGCAAAAGTGGAAATACACTTTAAAATGCAGGCCTGTTGCACAGGAATATGTAAAATGTGTTTTTAGGTATGCTGTGTGAACAGGAACATATAACATACATATAGTGGGACTTTCTCAAATTTGATTGCAAAAGTGGAAGTACACTTTAAAAATGCTAGCTTTTCCAAAGTACATACAGTACATCACTGGTTTACTTCAAGTTTTATATATATCATCTATTACTGAAACATATTTAGTATGTCAGCTATCACTGTGTGTCCAAGCAAACACAAAAATTACATGTGTATCAAAGTAAAGTCTTATCAACTTAATTCTGTACAGGTTAAACCAGCCTTGAAATGCCATCAATCCCACTGACACTACCTTCCTAAAAATTAAGTTTAAGTCTTTTCATGGATCTCATCAGTGCTTTCTTTACTCCTAATGACTGTAAGGCTTAAAGAACAAGTCAGCGACTGTGTTAGAAGCAGAGTTCTGCTGAATATGCTACTGTAGCTTTATCCCTTAGTTGTGCTTTTCCACAGTAAACATTAGTTTGACTCAGGACTGCTGAACTTAATTCCATGACTGGGATTATCAGTAGCCATTTTAAACTACAACAGCACAAGTCCTTCCCCCATTCTTACCTTGGTATATCCTTGCCAAACATAAAAAATATAACACTGTGCTTTTTCTATTGCATATGAGCTATTTATGGCAGCTGAAAATGTCAGGATCACAACGCGTTTTCTACTTTCACTATGACAAAAACTTTTCAACTACTTCATAAAGGTCTGCATTAGAAGAAAGTCCTTCAAAATCCAGTAGACTAGTGTCAATATTGAAGTTGAAGAAGTCATCGTCGTCCAAATCTTTTTCATACTTTTCATCTAAGTCATTGTCCGCCGGCTCTGGAACCTCAGAAATGCTACTTTCCGATGTGGGAATAATGACAATGCGTGGGATTGTGGTATGAATGATCCAGTCCAGTCCTCCACTTAAATCATACCCATTTACTTTTTGGTTATTTGTCATATGATTCTTAACAATTGATTCTAAACCAAGGGGATAGGTGACGGCATTAAGTGAATTTGACAGTAGAAAGTCTTTTGCATTTCCTTTCTCTGATTTTCTTGCTGGGTGCTCAAATGAGCATAATGCAGGCAAAACCTATTAAAAATGAAAAATGGCATCAAGCATATGTATACGTTGTTTATATGAAGCTAATTCTATATTTTTAATACAGATTTTTTAATCTCAGAACATTAACCAGTGTGGATCTTGGGCATTCTACACACGCAATTAAAAACTTTATTGAAATACACAGGTCATGTATAGTTTGCCCTGCCCTTCTGTCCTACTTCTGCTCCCCTCCTTGCATTTGCTGGTAATTCCAAGGTGTCAAAATGATAGCCAAAATATGTGTAAATACAGCAGTTATTCCAGAAGCCGCTGTCAAAAAATGGGCCTGGCTAGAAACATACAAAGTAACAGTGGTACTATAGGTAAAGGTAATGAGCTTCGATTTGCATATGATGTCAGTTAAAGCAACCTGACAAGAAAAAGAAAAGTTATTTTAAAATAAAATATGTTCCCATTTTACCCCTTAACCTCTTGCCGTCCGCCCGTAGTAAAAAAACGGACGGACGGCACTGCTTGTAGGTTACCCTAGTCAGCCTTAATTTATTCCTTTTTCCCCTTCTCCCCTAAGCTATTATTTCCATTTCCCTAAGCCCTTTTTTCCCATTTTTAACTTTCAATGTTTTTATTAAGATTTCAAAGATAAAAAAGACAGAATTTTACAAAATACAGTTACAAATAGAAAATAACACAACATATCCGCAAAATCAACAGTCCCCTAAACCCCATTCCTGCTTTCCAAATGTATAGAGCCCTAAGGCAATCCAGCAAAAGCAGAGTGTAAAGTAAGTACAGTAAATAAGTACAAAACATTAAAATATGAGGGACTGACAAAGAAAGGGTGAGGTAAGGGGAGTAAAACAATATAATATCCATACTAAAGAGTAAATTCCACCAGATTGTATAAAGAGAATGCAGCAGGGAAGGGGTATAATAACCAAGAAATCAAGAAGAAAAAAAAAAGAAAAGGGTAAAACTTTTTTCCCCATTTTTATTCAGTTTGTTCTTTAAGTTTTTTATTGTAATTCTTATGAGACTCTTTGCTTGCTCATTACGGGGCTATCAACATTAGTGTAAAAAAAGGTCATAGAATAAAATGATAGAATTGGTCAGATAGACTTAATCTCATAATGATGCATTAAAGGTATGTACATCATTTTGTTTTTCACATTCCTACATGGGGTGGCCCTGTACAGCCTAGACCAAGGGTTTAACAGGCTTTAAATTGATTTAAAGATTTTCTTATTTGCATTAAAATTGCATTCTTCATAATACGTTTCTGGAACAGCCATTCCTTTCTTCCGGACCAGTCACTACTGAAACAGAGAAGTTTGCATACCCTGCAAGTATTTTGTTACCAAACCTCTTTGTATCAGTACTGCTTAGACCAGAAGAAGGAAGTGGATCTCCTGAAAGCTTGTCCTGAACAAGGAACTTTGTGCTGCTAGATCTATTGTATGAAAATATGATACAATGCATAGTTATGGTTAATATCCATTTTACTGTGAGTTAAAAATTTCTATAGTTAATTTCCTTAAGCATTACCAGCATATTATCAGTATAGCTGGTTAATGTACTGCCATCTTGTGGTCATTTTGGTTATTGCACTTATTGCACATCTTTTTCTGTGTTCCCTCCTATTTTATGATGTATTTCCCCTTTCTTCTCGCATTGTATTTATGGCATCAAAATGGCTGCTTGTCTCATGGCCACATGATAATATGCTTGCATTGAGGGAAACATTAGCATGTTTTGACCTGCAAATGCCATCTGTTCAATCATCTTTTGCATCCTGTTGTCTGCAGTAACCTGCTGCATTCAATAAAGATCTTCGTGGATGAAAAGGTATTTGATGAGTTCAGCTATCTGATAAAGGCTGTCCGTGGTGATTGTATCTGCTTATACAGGCCAGACATAGAGGTCTCAGCATGGGATAAATCACTAATAAAATGGTTGGAGTCAGAATTAACTTTTTGCAAACTAATAGTAGCAGTTAAGCTCCGCGATGCTACTTTTTGCAGAATAAAATCTTTTTTCTAATATTAGATAATTTCTTTAGAACAAATTGGATGCTAATGGTTTGTAAATAATAGTGATGCAAACAATTTTTCAAAGACACGACTCTAATCATTGTTCTTGTATTATATATTATATCAACAAATTGCATTAATATATACACATCAAACTATTTTTTGTTAGCCATAATTTAGGCACATATCATACTTTACCTTCTGTTCTGGTAAAGCATTGCAGCTCCAAGCCTTCAGTAACATGTGTCCCTTCTTTTCTCGTTTTTGGCTCAGTGAAAAAGAATTGCTTCTTTGAAAGCATGCATTCCTGTAAATTGCTTCTTGTTCTATGTCACTGAGTATCTGAATGGAAAACAAATGTTTTGTTCACAGACAATAAATAATTGCCTTTTGATCATATTGGTTGGAGGCATTGATAGGCCAGCTAGATTTTCCTGGATGATTGCTATTGTTCCCCTAAGATCAGACCAGGCTGTCTGCTCACATAATTGACAGACACAAACATGCATGATTTTGTAATTATTATGCTAGAAAAGGATTGCTTGGATCTTCTTAACATCAGCTCAGGTCTGTGGGAACCTAACCTGTACATTTTTCTTTACTTCAACATGAAAAAATTATCCTGTATACATTATAATGTTGGTTTTAAGGTTTTTAAAGTAGTAAGTGATGTAAACTAACCATAAGCACTGCTAATTTGGTGTACTTAAGCCAATTAGTTAAACTTTTAAATCAATATCTAACACATAATTAACTCATCATATATGATTAAAGGAAACATAAGCTATGAATCACTGACTAAGAAAGTATTTGAACCAGAGATATCCATACACTAGTTTTTTCCAAAAGGGGTGGCAATGGCAGCCCATATATTCCTCACAGTGTAGATATGCTTTAATTTAATATTCCTGATTTCTGTAAAGGTGCTGTGAGGCACTGGCTGACAGGATTGTGGACGATGTGTCACCTAGGTCCCTCACCTGCTGTACACATGGTAAAGGATTCCAGGATTGATGACTTAGTTTTTGTTTGCTGCCTAGCTGAATAAGTGTGCAGGACAAACCTCCAGGGTGTCCCTGTCTCATGCAGGGTTTACCACTGCCAACGCCATTTGAGCCTGCCCTCCTTAAAGTGCCCATAGTCATTAGATGACAGCCATCTGCTCTGGCCATAACTTTTCTGACACCCGTAGACAAGCTTATTTCACAAGAAACTTGTAGCAGACATATTGGAAAGCATTTTCCAGTCACTCATTTCCCCCCCCCCCAACAAAAAACCAACACCAGAGTTATCTACATAGTCTCTCATAGGCTAAACACTTTAAGTTTACTAAACATTTGCAATTTTGGGAATTATGTACTATGTGTAACCTTTTTGGCTACAGTTGTTAAGATTCAGAGATATGAACAATACAATCAAAATAACTTATGAAGTTAATCAATTCAGTTTCCACCATATGTTTGGACCATGTCAGATGCTATCTGCTTTAGACTTCCTAAAGTAATAGACCATGTTCACTTTTCAAAGTTATTGTTTGCTTAGCTTACTGAATAGGAGGCTGTATTCATTTTATATAATTCAATTATGTGCAAGCCAAAATCTTTTTTTTTCCCTTTTCACTTGCATATGTTTGGATGTGAACACAGTTGTACCTTATTTAATGAACTAATACAATATCTTCTACTACTTTAGTAAATCAAAACAACTTTATCTAAATTAATATTCAACCAAGGCATATCGTTGTCTTTCAAAATTGGATTTAATTTGCGTTAAACTTTACTGAAATAGACCAAACAAGCTTCTTTAGTCAAAATGTGTATACTATACAAAATGGGGTGTTCCATTAAAGGAAAAGAGACTGTTCATTTAGAAAAGTGAATGTTCACTTAAGAACGTTTATGCTAGCTTTGCAGAACAAATGTTTACTCTTAGTGAATAAGCTAAAGCTGTGTTTACTCCAATCACTTGCAAGCAAGAAAATGCTGCTTTTTTCTTTCTTTACACAGAATTGGCTACTCAAAGTTAACATATCTTCATGTATTTACTAAATTAAGAGAACATTCTCTTTGCTGTAGTATCAAAAGAATATACACAGTGCGATTATACCAATACAAAGCTCAAGCCAAAAAATAAATAAATCAGATTTTGTGTAATACTGACACAATAAAAGGGGCAAACAAAAATACAGAGCAAATCAACCTAAGGACAACACTGCATTAATAAATGCTCACCTTTGTGCAAAGCTCAAATTATAAAATGAAAAGAGAGAAAAATAAAAGGGCATCAGACAAAAACATTTTGTAGCACATAAAACAGAGTACTTGAAGAATTGATACATTTTTGGTTACACAGACAAATAACAAATTGAAAAATTAACAACAAAGAGTTTTTCTGGACATTTAGACAGTGAGATAAGCAGGTAGGTAGGTAGGTAGTAGGAGGTAAGATAAAAAAGGATACAAAAATCTATTGTTACGTCTTTTGAAAGCCTAACTTCATCATTATTTTTTAAAATAAAATTCCTCCCAATAAAAAACGTTTTAGCCCTTTCCAGACTCCACCGCTGTCTCATGCGTATTCCCCAATGGTCCTGTGCCACTCCTCTGCCCAGTGTCATTCAAACCATTTCCTTTGAGCTCAGGACATCAAGGACATGGGGGATTCATCAAGCTATCCTGGACTGTTCCTGTAGTCCCATGGTGAACCTTGCTTACATGCCACCTGCCCAGCCTGGCTTGACTGACAGCAGTTCCTTTTAGGAATCTCACTTTCACAAGAGCCACTGCACATAAACAATAAGGAATAAAGGGGTCAAGACAAATCTTCATTATGAATTGGAAATAGGGAATGTGAACAGAGCAATCACTAATGATGTATGCAAAAACTAATGTAAATATTTTAAACTGTGCTCAGATCAGAAAGGTAACTAACCATCATCCAGGAAATAAGGAAAACATTACAAAATATTACAGCTTGATATATATATTAATTTTCTACCGTTTAATCTATTTAATGTGGAACAACACGCTGCTAAAACATAAGCCAATGCTTTAATGTGCATTGCTCAATACAAGCTTTTAGTAATACCCATACTGCAATATTTAATAGGCTATTGCAACAATTTAGGCAATATATTTTCTTATTGTGTACCATTACTCTTTTGAAATGCATCATACTATTAAAAAAAAGTGATTACATTTGCTTCTTTGCCCAAGTAATCAAACTTTGTAAACCACAAAGGATATGACATAGGACATGGAAGGATATCAACCATACGTTGCATGTCAATGACCTGTGGAATAAAGAACTAAGAAGCAATGAACAAAATACTTTTTTGTATATATATATATATATATATATTTTTATATATATATATATATACACACACACAGCTAAAACTAAGCAGGTGCACAACATACCAGGGTGCATACAAATAATAGTAAAGGTACACAATGCTAAATGTAAAAAAATCACCAGAGTGATTATGCAGTAATACAATAATGCATGTATGTACATGAATGCAGCTATATACTGTATGTTGTGTACTAGAAGAGGTAAACATCAGTTTTGCTAGAATACAACTATATTTTCTGATTTAGATATGCTATTTACTTATATCTTAACTCTGGTTTATTTTGTTTTCTATTCCAAAAAGCCAGTATAAAGGAAAAGTAACAGTGAAAAACAATCTGGATTTAACCATTTATTTTTTGGCACATAAATTCTTAATTGTGCACATAATTGGGGGCATTGAAAGAGGCTATCTATTGCCAAAATACATTGTGCTGGAAGGTGTCCCTCTTTCTCATCTCAGAAAGTTAGGAACTATGCTGATATGTCTGTGAAGGTTCTCATTCATCCTGGACATGGTATATCTGTAAAAAATAAGTCAAGGCAACTGGACTTGCTGTATTATTCTTGAAGACGTCGGTGAAACAAAACAGCAGCTACCCCAGCGTATGGAACAGCATAGAAGAGCAAAACCCTCTGGTCAGGATTCGGCAGTATACCTACATCTAAAGGAAAAAGGTCACTCCTTTGAAGACAGTCAAGTACACATCATAGACAGGGAGGAGGACTGGTTTAAAAGAGGTGTGAAAGAGGCCATTTATGTAAAGACACCTATTATCTGCCACATACAATGCTGTTTTAACACCTCTCTCCGAGCAGGTTAATAACACCTCCTAGACTCCAATTATACAAATGCAATCTAAACCTGGTTGTGACTAACAGATTATGTGGATTGGAGCAACATTCACCATATTTATACCCAAATAATTTTTGTACAAGTCATTGTGAATTGAGAAAGCTGGTTGGATGACCAGTGAAACGCCTTCAAGAAAGATACAGCAAGTCCAGTTGCCTTGACTTCTTTTTTACAGATATGCTGATATGATCAATGTGATGATGATTTTATTGGGCATAGTGCTGTTATGCAGTTTAGCATTTACATAATTTTATTCAGTTTAGCATTTAGCATTGAATGTTTGGTGTACTGATAGCTAATGGCTAAATGGGGTTGTTTAATAAAAAACTGTATGGGTATACTGCTGCCAATTTTATAAATAAGGTATCTTACCATATAATTAAAGGAGAACTATGGGGTCAGTGTTTTTCCCCATAGTTCTCCTTGGGGTAACGGGAGGACACAAATTAGCGTCCTCCCGTCACCCTAAGCTCAGTATAGCTTACTGAGGTATACTGAGACGCCGCACCTGGAGCGGATCCCGACTTAGATGACGGGATCCGCCCAGCTGCGTGAGTGACAGCTGGCTCTGCCTATCTAGAGGCAGAGCCAGCTGTACCCACCCCCTCCACCGTCCGTTCCGCCAGTCAGCGCTGGCAGATCGGAGCGGGGAGAGGGGAATCCAGCCCCTCCCCCTGTCACGGCAGAGAGCCGTGACAGGATTGAGAGGTGAGGGAACCCGGTATGTTTTCCCTCACCTCCCGATCTACTGAGCCGACCTGTGACAGTCTCATTGTCACAGGTCGGCTTAGAACTATGACGTGAGTGGAAATCACTCATGTCATAGTTCTCCTTTAAGATGCACAGTGTCTGGTAGTTGTATGTTAGAGGGTAAAAGTTTTTTTGTAGCTATATGGGAGGGGGTGGATTCTTTTTCTGCAATGTGTATATAAAGGTGCAAGAGTGATGCCACTGATACCGCTCCTCAAGAAGTCCAGGATTGTTGAAACGCATTGGGTGGGGTCAGTGATGTCATCATGTATAAAGGTATGCTTCTACTTTCAGAAGCAAAAATAGAAAGGAGGACTGAGTGCAACAGATTGGTGTTGTTATAGCACCAGAGAAGTATACACTGAGTGGCCAGATTATTATGACC